AAGAGCGGTGGCGTTACGAATATCCAGTTAGGTTTTTAGGGAGGCTTGATGCATGTATCTGATAGATTTGGTCACTGGTATTGCCTTTGTGGATTACAAAGCCTTCTAATAGCACTTAACATTCCAAAACCCTGTTCTTAAATCCTGTGGATTTTTTCAGTAATGCTCTTAATTAGCATCAATAATAATTCTATTTTGTTATAGATGATGGTGGAACAGAAGGTGAAGGATCTTGTCAACCAAAACGCATCACTTATGATGTCTCTAAGTTGATAAACTATCCAGGCTTTAATATATCCACTCCAAGTGGGATCCCAGATGTAAGTGGCTGTCCTCTGCCTTTTGAAGAACACGCTGAGTAACATTAATTGCCTTTAGCTGAGTTTAAGGTTTTGTATTCTGCATCTGACAATTTTCTTCAGCAGGCTCCTATTTTTAAGCACCTGGTTTGGGGCTAGGGGCTGTTGAGGTACTTGATATGACATCCATCTGTCTCATATCTGTCACAGCGCTTGTAGGTAGGGTCTGACAGTGCTTCTGCGGTGACTGTTTGCATAATGAGACCAACAGGAGCCTAGAAGGATAGTTTGGGTTTGTTTTTTGTTTTTTTTTAAAAACTAAACTTCACACATGAATGCCAGTTTTTTCATATGCATCTAAATTTTCTGAATGTGCTGCTGAACTTTTATTTTTCAAAAGCATTTTAACCTGCTGTTAGTAGTGACCTTCATCACTGATGTTAATACCTGTGCATTAAAAAGAAACGCTTGTACATTCTCTTTTGCAGCCTTACTTTTGCCCATTTAGTGGACTCCAAATGTGGTTTTTTCATTCAGTATTCTTAATCAAAGTTCTGTCCTCGAGTTTTTTTCAGTTTTCACGAAAACTTAAGTTTTTCAAAGTAAGCCTTTTTTGACAGAACAGTTATTTCAAGGGGAAGTTTTTAGCTGTGTTACAAATGTTGAAAAGTAGTTGCTATGAAATGGTTAACAAGGCATTTTGTAAAGGTGATGATTTTTTAAAATTATTATTCCTACTACCCAGTCATAATGCACTGCATCAGTTGTTTGTGCTTACAGGTGAGAGTACTTTGGTTTGCCAGAAGTTCCTGTTAAAGATCTATTTACTCTGATAAATGAGGCTTTTAATGAGAACTTGAATTCATCTTGGCTTGTTGATCTCTCAGTGTTTCTCTTAAGTTTTACTGTCATATTATTAGCCAACCATATGCAATATTATTTCTTTTTTTTTTTTCCTGTAGGAGTGGCAGATATTTGGTTCCATCCCAATGCAGCCGTCTCAACAGAAGGATGTTTTTGCTAACTATCTTTCTAATATTCATGCGGTGAATATACCTCATTGTTATTCATAAAAAAAAGTAGTTGTAGTAAGTGTGGCCAGTGATGTTCTATTGTTTATAGCTTCATTTTTGCACAAGGGGATAGACTTTTTATTGACACTACCTGGTGTGAAATGCTGATGCTTGGCTTACCTGTTCTAACAAAAAGGATCTTCTTGTTTAGAACAAATTCTGGTATTTCAATTAATATAGGCAAATCCCAATTGTGCAATATTTTAAAAACGGTTGAGAAAAGTATAAAAGGTTACTATAAATTTTTACAGACTAAAAATGGTCTTAGTTCCAGACTTCCCGAAAAAGCGAAAAGCTTACTTGCCATAGTCATGATTTACAGTAATCTTATTATAGTGACTTGGGAAAATATACGGTGGTTCTGTCCTGTATCACTGTCAGGTCTTCTGTAATGTGACTGTAGTCTAGGGTTACCTACTGCAGAATACTTCCAGTTGAGGATGGAAGGTGTGTGTGCTCTGCTCTCAGTCCCAAAGTGTAATGCTGTATGGAATTAAAGAGTAAGTTCTAAGCCTGCCAGGAAGGGACATGCCCTACTTGCATTGTGATGGTCTCATAAAATCTAGGTGTCCAGGTGGTAACTTGGTGGCCTGTGTTAGGAATGCAGACAGTTTTTTCTTTGGCCACTCACACCTGAACAAGACTACGGTTCTGTTCAGTTGTATTAAATCCCTCAAACTTCAATGTCTAGTTTACACACTGGGTTGCCAAATGGTTTTATAGTTGTGAAATTGCTTTATGTTCTTATAGCTGGAAATGTTACCTTGTGCAATTTAATACTAATTTCTTTTGTTTTCCTGGGTAATTTCTCTTCAGCCAAGTCCAAAATTTAGCAATAAAAGGGCTGCATCTCAGTCAAGCTCTCATCATTCAAAACGACCAAAACAAGACAATTTGAAGGTACCAGCAGCTGACATGGACCTAGATTCTGGTATAGTTAGTTATTCTGCAATTTTTTTTCTAGTTTCAATTGTTATTCTTAAAATAACTTGCTCTGAATTGGAATGTCAGTGTTCATAAAGAGAAGCCAATATGTTAGTATGCGTTGTGGTGGTAATTAGTGCTAGCAGCGTCCCACAGTAGTGGCATTTGGGCCTCTCTATAGTAAGCATTCTCTGTTGCTGTCATTGTCTTATCTTCCACTACCAAGCAGAAGGTTTCAAGGGTGCTCAGAGCAATTGGAATGTTAGGTTACGAATGCTGATCTTTTGACTTCAGGTGTATCCTAAAGAAACCTCTGTTATGAAGACCTTGAAATCCTTAAATATTTGGATGGAATAATGTAGGAAGTTACAAGCTCACAACTTCTTAAAAATCAAGAAGTCAAGCTCACAGGAGGACTTACAATGTTGTTTAAATGTTAGAACAGCTGGAGAGACTTCTGGCTTTCATTTTGGATTTCCTATGACAAAATCCTTCAGTGTGTCTCAGTGTGGAATAGGTTTTTTCTCAATATGTTCAAGAATATTTAATCTTTTTTTTTTTTTTTCCTGGAACAGGTAGCAGAGTTAAAATCCCCAAAACAGTTTCAGTGCATAGTAAAACCTTCAAAAAGTTGTTTCTAGCTCAGCTGAAAACCAAGGATGAGAAGACATAAGTCTGCTGGCGATAAGAGCATTGGCATTTTGAATCTTGTCCTAGTCAGATTTCAGATTCTGATAGAGGTCTTTCATCTGTTTCTAGATCCAGAAGCATCACAAAGATCTCAAAGTCGTAACAGCTTTCAGTTCCAACCTCCGCTCCCACCTGGACGTCCATCGATGTCAACTCCTCCTCCTTTACCCACAGGAACACCTCCACTAAGTATTACATCAGCTCAGCCTTCCACACCCACCCGCCCTCCTCTTCCTAGGACTACTCCACTGTTGACTCCTTCCAGTGATATTCCTCAGCCAAAAATAGTGGACTCGGTTATGGATGAGGATACTCTGACCTTGGAAGAGCTGGAGGAACAGCAGCGATTAATCTGGGCAGCATTAGAGCAGGCAGAAAGCACAAACAGTGACTCTGATATTCCTGTTGATACACCTTTAACTGGAAATTCCGTTACATCATCACCATCTAGGAACGAAGTAGATGTTGTTGCAGAAGTAAGACCATCTGATAACGTGATTACAGTGGAAACTAGGCTTTCTGACATCGGTGAACAGACACCAGAAAATGAACATTCTATAACCAGTCTTAATCCAGGGGATAGTTTACTGAAGGAAAATCCTGATAATACAGATTCTGAAGGCTTGCTGGATAACACCATGCCTGCTCCCAACCGTGAGGTTAATAGTGGAGAAAATACAGGTGGTAATAAAGTGGTCACAAAGATTGAATCATCTGCAAAAAACTCCAGTCTTGTTCCTGATATGAGCAAGTTTGCTGAAGGCATAACACCATTTGAATTTGAAAATATGGCAGAATCAACAGGTGTTTATCTACGAATAAGAAGCGTGTTAAAAAATTCCCCAAGAAACCAGCAAAAGAAAAAGACTTAATTTTACTGGTCTTCCTTTGTTTCATAATGTCCAAATCCCTGCTTCCTTCTGTCTCCTTAAATTTTACGAACTCGGATAGCCTTCCTCATCCTTTTGTGGGAAGGAGAAAATCTTGACAAATACAGCTCTGCCCCGTTTTTCCTTGGGACCGAAGTCAGTGCAGGGCTTCCATGTTGACCAGGACCACCAATGCGGCCAGAAAATGTATAGGAGCTTTCCCAAATTGTATCCTTCCACTAAGGAATAACAGGACTGTTGATTTGTTAAGAGCAATTTCCTTGCCAATACATGAAACTGTAAAAAAAAAAAAAAAGAGTTTGTGGTTTCCTGTTCATTACTTTGGCTAAATTTATATTGTTTTCCAGTTTCAGGTGGATTGGTGATTTTTAAAATATCTGTCCTTTGTACAATAGTCTATACTTTATACATTTTGCTAATTATCCTGTAGATAAGTTTAATATATTCAGAAGGTTTTTAGAAAGGTCTAACATTAAGATTTCCCACATCAAAATCCTGACAATTGGATGAAAATAATCAGGGATTACCAGCATTATTTTCACCATTTCAAATATTTTTATAAATTATTTATGTGGGTCAATTTTAATTACCACTGTATCTTTTGTAACAACATCCTTCATGTAAACTTGCTGTACATACGTGTTCGTTGTTGTGTACAGAGGTTTAATAAATGAGTTTTTATATAAAGAATATTTTTTTAACTGGAGTCTTAAACCATCAAACTGCTGATTTTTGAAAATTATCTGCTGAAGATAATTAGAAAAACAAGCTGATTAAAATGAGGATGGAAAGGGTCACAACTATTGGGTTCAGGTTTTCATAATCAAGAAGCTGTTAAAGTTATTTTAGCTACTTAAATAGGACCTTGCCATACCATTCAGTTTTCATAATCTGAAGAATTGCCCACTTCTGAAAGCCTTAAAGTGTTGTAATTCTGCTAATTAATTGTTCTAATGCTTTTTTTCCTTTCTCTTGTCTTCAGAGGGACCTTTAGGTGACATGACTGTACATTACTTGCATTGCCAACAGAGGGAGTACTAGATTGACTTAACAGTAGTCATTGGAGCTGGTAAAGCATTTGTTTGTCCTTCTGTAAATACAGGAAAAAGGTCTTCCTAGCCAAGCGAGATGCATAGTAAAACAAAGTATTTTCAAGTATCGAGGAAATGACTTGTGAAAGGGGGATGCTGAAAGGTGTTTTTGATAAGATAACTTCAGAGACTGTAGCATGTACCAGTTCAGTTTATCTGGTTGCACTCGGAAAGCCCCGGTCAAGGTAAATGTTCATCATATGTGCTAAAATGAAATGCTTTTTTTTCTCCCCCTCCGTATTTTATAGGAGGAAAAAGTATTACTTTCTGTAACAGGAATGGAAAACAAAATAATACGTTGATTCCAGCTTCTACGCACTTTACAAAGTAGAAGTCTATTGGGAAGTCTCTGTTGGGAAGCATATACAGATCTTGTACTTTCTCCATGCCTCCTCCTCCCATGGAATTAAAAGCTAGTAATGACAACTTACACAAGCCATTGTGTGCTGCGTGCTGCATCATTCCCATGGGGATGACGATGTGATGCAGGGCATGAGGTAATGATTTCCAAGTGTACACACCTTTTGGGTGTGTTGAGGCGCTCATATTTTAAACATGCAGTTCTCTCTCCACACCTTAGATCTTTTTCTAATAGCTCTTATGAAATGCTGCTTCTTTAAGTAGCACATGCAGCCTAAACTTTACAGGAGTACTTGTGTACTTCTGCCCTGCTTACAGATGCCGCAAGACAAAAATCATCTTTATATGCCTAGTACCCTTTAGCAGTCTGTATGTTCACAATAAATTCAAAATAAATCACCTACCTAATTGATCAGAAGAGATAAATCTTCAATGTTTGTACAGATTCTCAGACTTACCACTAAAGTAGCCGTTAACTTTATTGCTTCCCAGATTTATACTGAAAGTATTAGAGTGTGGGTAAATTCTAGTTTAAATATGTTAAATCTTTAATTTTATAAGGCTTTGAATTTTAAATTCTTCAGCATTTTTTATCACTTTGGTCACTCTTGTATGTGCTGCACACACACACTGCTTGGAGATACAGATCTTTTTCATTTTTGGAAGATGATGTCTTCTAGTATCTAAAGCAAATAGTTGCCAGGGCTGGACTGTGCTTGGACATTTTATATCCAGTGGAATTTTTGTCCAAAGTAGCTGAACTGACTAGTTGTTCAAGTCAGCAAATGTTTTTGTCCTTTACCTGTGGTCTGCTACAATTGGAAGCATGTAGCCCATGCTGTCACACTTGCATTCACTCTTGAATTAAAGTTCCTACAACTGAGATTTGTTCCCATTTAACAATCTTGTTTTTTAACATAACAAAAGACTCTAGGCTTTTATAAATATTGAGCTGTCTTTTGCAAAACTGTTAGCAGATGCTTAGACTTCCTCCTTCTAGTCTTGGTATTATCCCTGTCTGTCTTGAATATGTTTATGAGGGTAAGTCAAGTATCACTGGATACCAGTGCTCATGCTTTTCTAATGATATCAGTATAATTAGTAAGTAGGTGGTGTGAATGTTTTCCTGTATAGTCAAAACCTGTATGACAAGTTGGTTATTGGTAGGCAAAAGTGGGCACTTCAGTAGAGTGCTAGCAGGGCACTGAGAAGATGCTGAGCTGGGAGCTGCTTGGGGCTAGTCAGTGGAAAGCTTTGGGTTACCAGGCCTTGCCTGGCGTTTGGGCTCTCTGGATATGGTATTTAGAGGCTATCCCTGAATCCTGTTATGAATTGCAGCATGAACTGGTAGACTTAACCAGCTATACCATAACTGAGAACTTTTCTTCCTTTTCTTCTATCCATCTTAAACGTCTGTAGATGTTTAGTTTCAAGTCTGAGGCTGCCAAAATCCAAAATCTTTTTCACTAATGATCTGTGTAACCCGTATATAAACGTATCCTCAGTTAGCCTAAAAATTTCTTTGCTTACCTGTTAAAGCAAAATGTGGCTGGGAGTAGAATGCTTTCATTTATTATTCTTTTGCTTTCAAATCGTAAAGAAAAGCTATAAAAGTTCCTGTAATACTTCTTTTTTTCTTAAAATAATGTTTTTGTAATGCATTTGTTTTTATCTCAGAAAAGCGGACAGCTGCCACCAGCCTGTGGCAGGGGGTGCACCAATTTTTAATTTTTTTTAATA